CGCCCTGCTTTCCGCGCTCCCCGAGACGCCTGCGGGCTGGCGGCACTGTCAAGATGCCGTTTGCCAAAGGCTTCTGCCCGGATTTTCCTTTTAAGCTCGTTTGCAGCGGGGGAGCTCGCGGACCTGGCTCAAAGCCTCGAGTAGAAGCCTCCAGAGCTCAGTGCAGCCCCCGGGGTCCCGGCTGCACCACAAAACCCAAGGGAACTATTTTCCACACGTTTTCAGGGAAAAACGCTTGCGTTTGACCAGCGGATTTCAAGCCACAGCTCACTCTTACCTAGGAGCTGGGGGCATAACTCCTTCCCTCGGAGCTGGAGCACCGTTTCGGAGCAACGCCCCTCCCCACCGCAGCACCCGTCCTGCCTCCCTCCCACACCTGCACCCCTCTCTGGCCACCAAAGCCAGCTTTGGCCACCGGCCCACCATCCGCACGGCTCAGGCATCTCTGCACGCAGAGAAGCCTCACAGGACCAGGCTCGTAGGGATGGCACAGGAAGTGCAAGCTAGTTTTTCACGTGGCCAGTGTTTGATCCTAGCCGGAAGACAGGTGGGGCACCTAAGGACAGGTAGAAGTTGGCCCTGAATCCACGTGGCTGCTAGTTGGGTGTAGGAAACTCAGGCAGGAGTGACTTTTTTTCTGTTATTACCCTCTCTCCCTCCAGCAGCACGAGGCCAGGAATTGAACCTTGCCACACGCGCTACCAGGGAAGGAGAAAAGGCCACAAATGCCTCCAGCTTCTGGCTCCAGAGCCCTGAGGGGTCCTGCAGCCCCCCCGCCCAGGCTGCCCTTTGCCAGACCAGCCCCACAGACCGCAGTGACAGCCGGGGACGGCTGCTCCGGTGACCCACCGCCCAAACCCCGCACTCTCCCACTGCGTCTGCCTGCTGTCTCCCCTAGGATGTCTCCGGGACGGTCTGCGCCAGCTCGGTGGGCATGCGACTGCCGGGGGGCTCTCACGGGCACCGCGGAGCTGCGCAACGCTGCGGGCGGCCCCGAGGCCCGCGCTTCCTCGT